TGCATATCTGAGGTTATTGATATTTCTCCTGGCAATCTTGATTCCAGCTTGTGCTTCATCCAATCCGGCATTTCTCATCATGTACTCTGCATATAAATTAAATAAGCAGGGTGACAATATATAGCTTTGATGTACTCCTTTCCCCATTTGGAACCAGTCCATTGTTCTATGTCCATTTCTCACTGTTGCTTCTTGACCTGCATACAGGTTTCACAAGAGGCAGGTAAGGTGGTCTGGTATTCCCATCTCTAAGAATTTTCCACAGTTTGTTGTGATTCTACACAGTAAAAGGCTTTAGCATAGTCAGTGAAGTAGAGGTAGATGTTTTTATGGAATTCTCTAGCTTTTCCTATTATACAGTGGATGTTGGCAATTTGATTTCTGGTTCTGCCTTTTCTAAATCTAGGTTGAACATATGGAAGTTCTTGGTTCACATACTGTTGAAGTCTAGCTTGAAGGATTTTGAGCTTTACTTTGCTAGCATGTGAAATGAGTGTGATTATGTGGTAGTTTGAACTTAAAGCCAGCAGTGATACACATCATAAATAATTGTACTCTATGATAACTTCACTAGACAATTCTTTCCATTCTGAACACTGGGGTCAAAAATATGGTTTGAAGCAAAACATTGTGCGTGCTCAGTAGTGTCCGACTCTCTGCAGCCCCACAGACTGTAGCCCTCCAGTCTGCTCTGTCCTCTGTCCCAGCAAGAATACTGGGGTGATTTGCCATTTCCTACTCCAGGGAATCTTCCTGACCCAGGGATTGAACCTGTGTCTTCTGCATTGGCAGGCGGATTCTTTACCACTGAGCCATCCGGGAATCCCAGCTTTCCATTAGAATTCTTTAAGTTTCTTACCTAGTTCAGCAGTATGATCTGAAAGTTATTAAATGTTGTCCATATTATTTAACTTACCAAATAATCCTAGTTAGAGCTTCCCTAATAGCTCAGTGGGTAAAGAATATTCATGCAGTGCAGAAGACGCAGGAGACATGGGTTCAATCCCTGGGTCAGGAAGATCCCCTGGAGGAGGAAATGGCAACCCATGGACATTCTTGGGTTCTTGTCTGAAAAATCCCATGGACAGAGGAGCCTAGTGGGCTACAGTCTATGGGGTTGCAAAGAATTGAACCTGACTGAGCAACTAAGTAAGAGAAATCCTAGTTACTTCACTATTTCTTCTGAGTGTCTAGGAGCCCTTTGGAATACTCAAAGTTAGCTCGAGAAAGAAACTTGAAGCCTGTTATCCAAAGCAGCTTGATATTCTAGGAAACTTTTGGGGGGAACAAAAACCAAATTCTAGTCTTATACCAGCTTACTATTAATAACAAAGATTCATTTAAATCCAATCTAATCTTAAATCACTCCTGACAGCATACAAAATTCTTTTCTCAGAGTCCCCCCTCCACTTTTTTCTGCAAATCTTTCATCACTTTTTGTATCCATATAATTCATCCCTTATTTTTCTCCATCTGTAGACAACTAGCTCTAGGACAAAACTATTATCATAATTTTTTCTTCAACAAAAATATCTGCATTCTTTATACTTTTTCTCATTGACAACAGATATCCTATTTGCTTTACAGACTGAAATGCTTCATTTTTAGTAGCTTTCATCACATATTTCAATTTTTAACCCATAAAAACCTTAACAAAGCCAAGAAACAAGTAATTGAACTGTTATGCCAGCATTTACTGATTGGCAAGCTTAAGAACATATTCCATAACCTCTCACAACTTACATTTTTCTCATAACCTAATTTCTCTTTAATATGGTACAAGATGCATGTTTAATAAACCCAACATCTTTTGAAGTTCTGCTAATTAACCCAAGGCTGAAGTCTCAGGCAAAGTGGACTTTGTATTTCAAGGACATGATGAGACTTAACTTCAAGTTTTCTCTAAGGCTTATTTTTGGTCTCTCAGAATTTTGTCAGCATTCTGAAAACAGTATTCTACCAAGCTAGCTTTTTCTAACTACATATGCAAAAAGAACAAGAAGAATTTCAAAATTCTTTTGGAATTTCAGAAGAGTTTCATCTCAACCAATTTTCTCCAGAGTCTAAAGAATACTATTGTCATATATTATTTAAAAAATTATCTTTGAGACTTTCAGTTCAGTTCAGTCTCTCAGTCTGACTCCCAGTCTCACTCTCTGTGACCCCATGAACCGCAGCATGCCAGGCCTCCCTGTCCATCACCAACTCCCAGATCCTGCTCAAACTCATGTCCATTGAGTCAGTGATGCCATCCAACCNGGGTGGTATCATCTGCATGTCTGAGATTATTAATATTTCTCATGGCAATCTTGATTCCAGCTTGTGCTTCATCCAGCTTGGCACTTCTCATGATGTACTCTGCATATAAGCTAAATAAGCAGGGTGACAATATATAGCCTTGACATACTCCTTTTCCAAATTGGAACCAGTCTGTTGTTGCATGTCTGGTTCTAAATATTGCTTCTTGACCTGCATACAGGTTTCACAGAAGGCAGGTAAGGTGGTCTGGTATTCCCATCTCTTGAACAATTCTGAGACTTTACTGGTGATCCAATGGTTGAGACTCTGTGCTTCCACTACAGGGGGCACAGGTTTGATTCCTCATTGGGGAACTGGGATCCCACATGCCACATGGTGTGGCCAAACAATTTATCTTTTTCCTAAAAGTACAAATTAAAATGAACAAAAAAACTTTATCTTTTTCTTTTAGTGACCTCATTGCTAAAATTTTTCTGTTCACACGCATGGAATATGCACTCACACACCAGAAGACAGAACTGTCACAAATCTTCCAAGAGGATGGCATGGAGTCCCAAATAAATACTTTCCCAACACAAATTGTCCTCAGCTTCAGACACATGTCAGAACCAATTGGCAAAATGTCCAAATAGCACGTCGAGCTGAAAAGAGAAGTTTGCCTGGGTGCATACTGGTGGACTCACTCAGTCTTGGAGCCTGTCAGCTGGTCTAGATGCCTGTTTCCGTTCCACCAAGGAAAAACGTACATTGGCAGCCAGTGCCGAGCTGGGGAGAAATAGGGCAGATCCCCGAAACAAATGGTTTCAGCAGCTGCTAGGAACGTCCCCCCAAACCCACCTCCTGGGGCCAGCTGGCCACAAGCAGCGGGCTCCTCATAGCCGCCCCAGTGTGTGGTCATGGGAGGACCCCCCAGGAGCCAGGCACTGTGAGTGCAGCGGCCCCACAGTGGGTGCCAAAAACTGCTGTCAAACATAGGGGTCTGGCTGCTTGCTGCTCTTAAGACAGTAAAGAGGCAAGGTTGGTGGAAAGGAAAGGTTGCCATATTTCAGAGCCAGCAGACTGGCAGGGAGGGCAGACTCCTATCCAAAGGCTGACTCCTCACCCGGACAATCAGTGGGGAAGAGCTTTTATAGGTGCAAGGAGGGGGCTGCTTGCAGAAACAACACAGGCAGCTCCGACAGTCATCTTGAAGTTGGTCATGTGGTGGTCTGATCAGTGTCATCTTGATTGTTTTAAGTACAGTTAATCTTCAGTAGCAGGGTCAGGTTATTCCCATTTCTTCGAGGCCAGCTCTTGGAATTGCGGCAGCTTAGGTCATGGCTGCAGTGAGTGTCTATAAGACAGCTCACAGGATATGGCTCAGAGTGTCATCTATAGCCCTTGAGGGGGAGCTATACGACTTTGACTTTGCTTAAAGCCTAAACGATTATTATTTAGTCTTGTTGGGCTTGCTTAGTCTTGTCGACTTGCAGTCTTGGTTCTGCATTTTCTCTTTTCTCTGATTAAACTGATTCATTGACTGAAGTTTTTCCACAGACAGAAGGCAGGCTGAGGACATGGGGGTCAAGGATCAGAGGGTCCTGCTTCATTTGAGGGTCAGGCCCGTCCTGGACTCACTGCCCCTTTGAAGACCCTGGCTCTCTGTGTCCTGTCTCCTGACTACTGAGCCATGCTTGTTAGAGGTGGCAGTGAGGGCTGGGTGGGGGTGGGAGTCGGGCAGCGCCTGGCCCAGCCCGGGGGCAACACACGGCCTAGATTGGAGAGCCGTGATGCCTGCCGACAGATCCAGGGCACACGGAGCCACCCCAGTGTCTGCACAGATTGCAGTGGCCTGACCTGTGGGCCTGAAGCCCCATGTCCAGGACTCTCAGCAGACACGTAAGTGGCTAATGGAGGCTTTGAGACTGGGCACCAGGGCAGCCAGAAGGGCATTTCCAGGAGCCCCTCAGCTCAGAGGACTGAGGAGGCGCTGAGCCTGGGCACGAGGCGGGAGGTGGCCTGCTGCCAGCTTCCCGATGGGCTTGGGTCCAGGCGCCGGGTGGGGCTTCAGGGAGATTCTAGGGGCTGAGACCAGGGGTTCTGCATTGATTGGGGATGGTGAGGCAGGGTGGGGAGGAGGAGCTGAGGTGGGTCTGTTGGGCCTGGTGCAAGGATTCAGCTCTGCCAGGTGGGCAGTTCCAAGGGGGCAGATTGAGAAGCCTTCTGGGGTTCATTTGAGCCCCAGGGGGCCCTAACATGGTGTGCAGTCCTGGGGAGGGGGTGCAGGACATGCACAAAAATAAATGTGGTTTCTGGCTTTGAGGGGCTGTGTGTGTCTATGAAGCAAACTGCAGATTTATATAAAGCAAATATGCAATTATGTGGCCCAAGGTTTTATCTCTAAGAGTCCAGGAGCATAAAACCAGCTGGGGACAGCATGGTTCTGGTGGGGAGAGGAGGCAGTCTTCTTAGAGGAGGTGCCCACACTGGATCTGGAGGACAGACTTGGGGGAAGGGGAGGATGGGAAGGATATGGGGTGAAGGGCTCGTGGAGGAACAGCTGTGGGGTGGGCACGAGGGGTGCCACCAGATGGATATTAGGGTTACCCTGGGGATGAGGAGCTGGTCTGTAGATGGGAAGCCCCCAGCCAACTCAAGGCTCATGCCTGTGGAGTCCCCATAGCCCGTTAGGGCTCTGGGCCTGGAATGGGGCACCTGGGACGCTTCCCTCACCTCCAGGGGTCTCTCTCCTGCCCTCCTAGTGCGTGAGCAGCCCGCGCGCTGACCGCCACTGCCCACCTGTCCGCCGCACCACTGCCGCACCATGTCTGGCTCTTACGACGAGGCCTCGCTAGCTCCGGAGGAGACCACTGACAGCTTCTGGGAGGTGAGTCTTAGGTGCTCTGAGGCTCCCAGGCACCCGGCAGCCTGGCTGCGTGGAGACCCAGGCTCCCAGCCACCCACAACCTCAGCCCTTGCCCCTTAGCCCTTGGGGCCCCTCGGGAGCCCTCCATGTTCAGCAGGTGGTGGTTGCCATGAAGTGGTTCCTGCAGACCACCGCTGACCCTGCAGAGACCCTGTAGAATTCAGTGTGGAGCAGGGCCCTCCTGACCCTGCCCTGGGGGCCCTGGCTCAGACTCCTGTCCGCAAGGAGTTCACAAGGGCAAGTGCTGCACTTTACAGCTTCCTGGGGTTTCACAGCTGTGCCCCCCCAACCCTGTGCCATGGGCAAGGGGCGGGGCCCTGGTGCCAACTGCCCTGGGGACCCCACAACCAAGAGGCGGAGACAAGCCAGCATTGCTGGAGCCTCCCAAAATATTTGAGACCCAGAAAGGCATTTTCCATTGGCTTCCAAACCCCAAAGCGCTGCAAACTGCCAAACCTAAATTAATAAGTGTTTAATGAGATGTCTACAAAACATAATATTATGTCAAGAAGCTGCAGCTCAACTCAATGCTTATATGACTCTATATAAATATAATAGATTTAGCACGGCAAGAACAGAATGAATAATTCATCTGAGTCCAAGTCCAAATTATAAATATTCTTCTGCACTTGGTGACAGCCAGGAAATTCTGTTTAAAGCGGGACGGAGAGAGTCCAGACGGTGGGGTGTGAGGCGGGGTGTCCGAGCCGGACTCCCAGAGCTTTAGGGCGGGGCTGCCCGGGAGGCCTGGCGGGGCGCCTCCTGCAGGATGCAGTGGCCAGGGAGGGCGGGCGGCCGGGCGGGGGGTGCAGGGGGGCCGGCGGTAGTCATGCTCGCTGCTCCGCCGCCAGGTGGGGAACTACAAGCGGACTGTGAAGCGCATCGATGATGGGCACCGGCTGTGCAATGACCTGATGAGCTGCGTGCAGGAGCGCGCCAAGATCGAGAAAGCCTATGCGCAGCAGCTCACCGACTGGGCCAAGCGCTGGCGCCAGCTCCTTGAGAAAGGTGCCCCCTCTCCCCTCCGTGCCCGGCCCGGGTGCACACCCAGGCGCTAACCAGCCCTCCACTGCCCAGTCCCGGGAGCACCGCGCCCCTGGATGCTCCTGCAACCTCCCATCACTGGGTCTTTGCGGGTGCCGGCCCCTCCCGCGCACTCTTCCCCTCCCAAACTACCCAGGTCTCCCTGTCCCTGATCAACTCCACTTTCTGCAATTTTGGATTGGACTGGGGGGAAAAAAGACTTTTTTTTTTTTGGTTGCACCACGGGGCTTGCAGGATCTCAGTTCCTTGATCAGGGATTGAACCCCAGGTCCACCAGGCAGTGAAAGCCTGGAATCCTAATCAGGAGGCCACTAGGGAATTTACAAAACTTTTTATTTTGCAATAATGTAAGCTTAGAGAAGAACTTCTAGAATAGTACAGAGAATTACCTACCTTTCACCCAGACTCACCAGCTCATATTTTATCAGGTTTGTTTTCTCACACCCTCTCTATTTATAGGCATGTCTTTTCTGAGCCATTTAAGTTGGAGACATGCCCCATCACCCTAAATCCTTCACTGTATTGCTGAAGAATAAGGACATTTGTTTATGTAATCATAGCTCAACTGTCAAATTCAGGGCGTTTAATGTGGCCCACATACAAATGTTATGGTAGCTGTTGTTTGCCCTGGTCCAGATCCGGTGGGCTGTCTGGGTCCAGTGGCTTCCTGTTACATCACCAGTTCATTCTTCACTCTTACATTTCCGTCTACATTCCTGGAGCACCAAGAGCTGGCCTGTGAGAACTCATGGGGTCCAGGTTGTCCCCCGTGGGGCTCACAAGCTAATGAGGGAGACAGGGAGCAGGCCCAGAGGCAGATGCTACATATAAGAAGAATTCATAAGGGCTGCTGGCCGAGCTATGTAAGGATAGAGTATTCAGAGAAGGCTTCCTGGAGGTGGTGGCTGTTCTTGGGCTGTTCTGGAGGATGGATAAAATTATCGGGAGAGCAGAGGAGGGTGTTCCTGCTGCCATGGGAAGTATGGGGAAAGCCTCAGAGAAAGGAGGCGTGAAGGGGGGCCTCTGGGCAGGGGGTGATGAGGACCTGGTGGCCCCCCGGCCGTTTCCCCAGGCCCACAGTATGGGAGCTTGGAGCGGGCCTGGGGTGCCATAATGACGGAGGCCGACAAGGTGAGCGAGCTGCACCAGGAGGTGAAGAACAGCCTGCTGAATGAGGACCTGGAGAAGGTCAAGAACTGGCAAAAGGATGCCTACCACAAGCAGATCATGGGCGGCTTCAAGGAGACCAAGGAGGCTGAGGATGGCTTCCGCAAGGCCCAGAAGCCCTGGGCCAAGAAGATGAAGGAGGTGCCTGGTGGGCAGGCGGCTGCCACGGAGGGGGCGAGGCCGGGTGGCAGGGCTCAGGGGGCAGACTGAACCAAGAGAGGGCATCTGCAGATGTCGCGGGCAGAGCGCTGCCCCCTGGGATTGTGCCCACGGGGAGCAGCACTGTCTGCCAGGAGGATGCATGCACAGATGGGCCCAGCAGTGCAGGGTCATACGCGCAGGTGGGTGGGCACTGCCCCCGAATACCTGGAGCCGGGGCCTGCACCACTTCTGCCTTTTAAGGGCGTATGCACGCAGCTCCCGGCGGAGTGGGCAGGAGCGACGGGTGGACAGTGATCTCGTTGACTCCTGCGTGCGAGTAGGTGCCCTGCCCCCTCACCTCCCTCCCCACAGCTAGAGGCAGCCAAGAAGGCCTACCATCTGGCCTGCAAAGAGGAGAAGCTGGCCGTGACCAGGGAGATGAACAGCAAGACGGAGCAGTCAGTCACACCCGAGCAGCAGAAGAAGCTGCAGGACAAAGTGGACAAGTGCAAGCAGGATGTGCAGAAGGTGCTGGCCGGGCCGGGGTCTCGGGGCGCCGTGGAGGGGGTGGCAGCGGGGAGCTGCAGGCCTGGGTCTCACTCCCGCTTTGCCTTGGTGCCCGTAGACGCAGGAGAAGTATGAGAAGGTGCTGGACGACGTGGGCAAGACCACGCCCCAGTACATGGAGGGCATGGAGCAGGTGTTTGAGCAGTGCCAGCAGTTTGAGGAAAAGCGGCTGGTCTTCCTCAAGGAGGTGCTGCTGGACATCAAACGTCATCTCAACCTGGCCGAGAGCAGCAGGTAGCTGGGGGTGGCGGGGCGGGGTCGGGGGCAGCAGGGCTTCCCAGGCCCTCGTTCCAGTGGCAGGAAGGGGAGGGCAGGGCCGCAGGGGCCGGTGGCTGCCTGGGTGAGTGCTGACGCACGCCAGATCCTCAGGACAGGTGCTTGGATGGATGGGTGAGCGACTAAGATGGGGATGGAGAAGGGTGCCCACAGGGCTTGCCTGGAGCTGCCCATTCAGAGATTGCGCTTCGAAAGCCACCTGATTCCTGGCTGCCAGCACCTGGTCCTCTGGATGGGCTTCGGCCCTCACCAAAGCTGGGGTGCATCTTGCCCTGAACCGCCCCGTCTCGCCCGCGCACAGCTACATCCAAGTGTACCGGGAGCTGGAGCAGGCCATCCGGGGTGCTGATGCCCAGGACGACCTCAGATGGTTCCGCAGTACCAGCGGCCCTGGCATGCCCATGAACTGGCCCCAGTTTGAGGTGAGGATGTGTGGGGATGGGGTAGAGGGATCCAAAACCGCTGGAAGGCGCTTCGGGGGGCAGCCCCCCAGCCTGACTGCTCCCCTGGTGCCCCCCTCAGGAGTGGAACCCAGACCTCCCTCACACCGCCGCCAAGAAGGAAAAACAGCCTAAGAAGGCAGAGGGGGCAGCGCTGACCAATGCTGCTGGCGTGGTGGAGTCCACGTCTCAGGCTGGGGACCGTGGCAGGTGAGTGCCTCCTAGGGAGCCTCCTGGGGGCCTGGGGGACCCCCACACTGGGGGCCACTGAGTTTTACCTTAGGAAACAAGAAATGGTTTTAATCAGGACAACCTAGTGCTCCTCTCAGAGACAGTGGTAGCCAGTCTGTGAGAGCACCTACCGTGTGTGAGGCGCTGTGCTAAGCATTTGCCGTAAATTTTCTCACTGAAGTCTCCCAGCACTCTGAGGAGTATGTCAATATCCCCATTTTACAAATAGAGAAACCGATACCCGGAGAGGGTAAGTGACTTGCCCAAGGTCACACAGCTGGTTTAGTAAGCCTCAGAGCCAAGATATGTTGCCCAAGAGGTCTGGCTCCAGAATCCTCACTCATTAAACACATACATATATATATAGGGCTTCTCTGGTGGCTCAGTGGTAAAGAACCCACCTGCTAATGCAGGAGCCTCAGGTTCAGTCCCTGGGTGGGGAAGATCCCCTGGATAAGGAAATAGCAACCCACTCCAGTATTCTTGCCTGGGAAATCCCATGGACAGAGGAAGCTGGTGGGCCATAGTACATGGTGTCACAAAAGAGTTGGGCATGCCTTAGTAACTAAAAATGAACTTGGGCTCATCTCTTTTTTTTTTTTTTCTAGTTTTAATGAGAGATGATTGACATATGGCACTGAGTTTAAGGTGTACAGAATAATGATGTGACTTCTAGACATCATGACTTATAGACAGGAATGATTACCACCATAAACTGAGTAAAATATCCATCATCTCCTGTAGATTCAAGGTTGAGAAATTAGAAAAGAATTGTTTTCCTGGTGGTGAGAGCTCAGTATTTATGTCTTAACATTCATGGATAACATACAGCAGTGTTGATTTATTGTGTGGCACATTAATTAACAACATGATGCTCCTCCTACTAGAATCCTCACTGTTAGTCACTGGGTTGTACTGCCCCTCTCAGATGGGGGGTCAGATGTTCTCTGGGGTCTCCTTCAGCACCCCCTCACTCAAGGGCTGAGTGATGCTAGTAGTCCTGCTTCCCGTGTGTTTAAAGAACCGTCAGTGAGGGCTCCCTCCTACAAGGCCTGCTCCGCGGGATTTGGGGTCAGGCCCTAGTTGGGAGGGGGCAGCCCTGGGGACCAGGTGAGGGGGCGCTCAGGCCGGGTCCTCTCCTGCGCCTCAGTGTTAGCAGCTACGACAGGGGCCAGACTTACGCCACCGAGTGGTCGGACGATGAGAGCGGGAACCCATTTGGCGGCAATGAGGCCAACGGAGGCTCCAACCCCTTCGACGAGGATGCCAAGGGAGTGCGTGTGCGGGCGCTCTACGACTATGACGGCCAGGAGCAAGACGAGCTCAGCTTCAAGGCCGGTGAGGGGGCGTGCCCGGTGGGCGGGGCCGAGACCTGGGGCTGACCTGTGCCCCCGGGGACAGGACCTAGGGGTGCCCCATGCCCCACGGACAAGACCTGGGGGTGACCCGTGCCCAGGGATCAAGACCTGGGGCTGACCTGTGCCCCGGGAGACAAGACCTGGGGGTGACCCGTGCCCCCTGGGACAGGACCTGGGGGTGACCCGTGCCCCGGGGACAGGACCTAGGCGTGCCCAATGGGCGGAGCCAAGACCTGGGGGTGACCCGTGCCCCGGGGTCAAGACCTGGGGGTGACCTTGCCCCGGGACAAGACCTGGACTGGCAAGCCGGGGCGGGTTCTAAGGATGGCAAGGAGTGGGATCTGGACCTCAGAAGAGGGTTGGGGGAGGGCAGGGGGAGGGATCGACCAGGGAAATGAAGCAGGAGGCGCGGCCTGGGCCTCCCGGGTGGAGCTGAGACCCAGATTAGCTGGTGGCTGGGTGTCGAGGTGTGGGTGGGGCTGGTCCCCGGGGCGGGCGCTCGGCAACAATGCGGGGAGGGGGCGTTGGGATGGGCCCAGCCTAATCAGAGGGCTTCCGGGGCAGGTGGGCAGGTGGGGGCGGCGGTCCCTCTCCGGCTCCGGTCAATCAGCTTCTCTGTGTCCTCTCCCTCCCTAGGAGACGAGCTCACCAAGCTGGGCGAGGAGGACGAGCAGGGTTGGTGCCGCGGGCGGCTGGACAGCGGGCAGCTGGGCCTCTACCCCGCCAACTACGTGGAGGCCGTCTAGCGGCCCTGCCCCCCAGCTCCTCACCCGCCGCCCCCCTCCCTGCAGCCTCCCGCCCCCGCACCCACTCCCCGCCATAGAGTTCCAGACATATTTTCCGATCAAGCTTTTATTTTTTTAAAAGTCAAAACAGAACAAAACAAAAAATATAAAGAGACGGAGCATTTGCAGGGACGCCTGGAGGCCAGGGTGGTGGGACTTCGGGTGATGGCCCCAGGGCAGGTGAGGGTTTAGGACTTAGCCCGACAGCGACATCATCACATCTGCTCTTCAGATCCCACCAAAGAGTCTCCTGCGCCCAGAGGGGTGTCTCCTGGACCCTTCCATCCTCGGTGCCCCACCCCCACTCCCACCCCAACCCCAGGCTGCCAGCGCCTGCCCCCGGTCTCCCAGCCTGGTTTTCTTGCCCTCTGTCTCCTGCCCCACCCTGCTCCCCTCCCACCACCTACTCTCAGAGGCCTCCTCTGAAGACCCCCAAGAAGGGGGCCACCCCTTTAGTCTTCCACTCTGCCTGGGGGAGTGCCCTTCCCCTAGCCTCGTCCCTGAGGACTGGTGGGGCTGGAGGAGGCATGGTCACCCCCGTCTTCTCCCACAGAGGTTTCCGGGGTCCCTAGACTCCCCAAGACAAGAAGAGGGGTTAGCTGGAGTTGCGGGCAGTGTCACTGGTGTAGGAGGGGTGAATAGGATTGCGCTCAGGGGAGGGGCTAGGACCCCACTGGGGCCCTTTTCCAGCTGTCGACAGGTTGGGCCCAGTCTCTTCCTCAGAGCCAGACCCCCACTCCAGTCACGAGCAGAGGCCCCATCCCGCTCTCAGGCAGCGGGGAGGGGGCCCCAAAGCCCAGGGCAAAGCCAGCAACAGTAGCAGCCTCCTCCCGTTTCCTGGGGAGGAGGGCATCTTGCCCTCCCTCCCACCCTCTCTCTCTCTCTCCTCTCCCTCCAAGTCCGCTGAAAACTGTAGATCCATCAGGCTAAACTGGCCTCGCCTCCTCCCTCCTCCGCGCCCCTGCTCTGGCCTGCCCAGGGAGACTCCGCGGAGGACCAGGGGGGGAAAGCCTGCGGCCGGTGGGGAGGGCCTTGGGTCTGCAGGGGCCCTGGCCTCCGGAGCAGCACCATCACGGGGTCTTTCTCCCTCATCCATCCCCCAACTCCAGCCCTGGCCCCTCGCAGCCCCTCCCGCTGGCGGCCCCCATCTCTGCAAGCCTGGGTCTCAGTGAGAGGACTCCTGTGGGCGGGAGGGGGCCGAATGTCTTCCGAGAGCAGCAGTGTCTCCTGAGGTGGGTGACAGGAGGCCGTGCAGGACTACTGGGTGTTCGTACCAGGGACCAACCAGCCTCGCCCATAGAATGGGAAGCCGCCCCGGGCAGGCCAGGACCCCCAGGAGGGGGAACGACAGAAGCGGAGTCTCTGAGGCCCTGAGACTTCCTGCAGCAGCAGGTGAGGTCGCTGCTCCCGGCTGATGTTCCCGCTGAGCCTCGGGCCTGCGGACACCCGGCGTGCTCTGCCCTGGCGGTGCTTGGCCGCCCCGGCCTCCAGGTAACGAAAGCGTAATCCCCGGCCCCTCTGCCAGCCTGGGTCTTCTTTTGCTCCCTGCTGCGTTTGCCCAGAGCCCACTCAGGAGGTCCCAGACCCCAGCCTCCAGGTCCTGTACCTAGTCCTGTGGGCACAGAAGACCCTGGCAGAGGCGCTGGGGCGGGCCTCCCTCGGGGCCAAGGGACTCTGGGGGTTTGAGGACCCCAGGGCCCTGCAGACCTTCCCCTTCCAGCACCCCGTTCTCGTCCCTGTCTGCTGCAGCCTGAGGTGTGACCCAGGCCCCTGAGGGCCTGAAGCAGGATTCCAGAAGCCCTCTGGCCTCCAAACCCCCCAACTGAAGCCTCTTCAGCTTCTCCCCCAGGCAGGAATTGGGGTAGGGGGCCTCCGTCCTCGCAAGGCAGGAAGCCCGCCCATTTGCACCCTGGGGCCTGGGCTCGCCTCTCCCTGCCCGCGGCTTCCCGGTGCCCGGGTGGGGCTGTGACCCTGGCTGGGCCCCAGGCCGGTCCCCCTCCACACTCCAGCTGCCAGCTCCAGGGCGGAGACTCGAAACCCGTTTCCTTCTGAGCAACCACCTCCACGGGCCCACGGGGGACCCAGCTCTCTTATCCCCAGGCCCCTCAGGACCCCAGGGAAGGAGGGTCTCCCACCCGAAGTCCCCCTGAGCCCCACGTGCTGGCGTTGGGCACTCAACACCGAGCGTGGGTGCCCGCACCCACCACCTCTTGTAGCCTCTCCCCCCCCTCGCCCACCCCCTTGATGCTGCGTGGGCCTCCCCGCGGGGCTCGGGGCTCGGCGGTGAGTACTGTGTTCTGTCCCCAGTGAAGCCCCGTTTCCGTGGCCCGGCTCTGCAAGGAGCCAGGGCTGCCCTGCCACCCGCCACCCCAGGCTTCCTGACTCCATTAGTCCAACACTTGTGAAACTCCGAGAAGTGCTGTGGTCTCAGCAACGCACCTGTTTTGTACATGATTGTGTAATTTAAAGGTGTATAAATGCAGATATATATATATATAAGTTGTGATTGTACAACTGTGGATAAAATCCAGAACTGTGTCAACCTGGCTGGACGCGTGTCCTCTTGAGTTTTGTGTGTGACTCCGGCTCTTGTGAGTCCTCTAAGTTGGAGTCCGTTGGGGAGACGGTGCCCCAGGGTGCTATCCTGAGGGACCACCAAGGGTGGGGGGCCCCGGGGCCCATCCATGCACAGAAGCTCATCCTGGATGCTCTCTGAGGCACCAAGACTGTGGCCTTTAGGGTCTTGGGCACCTGGTGATGAGCACTGACTAGGAGAGCTGGGGCATCTGGGGTCCCGAACTTCGGGTTCAAGGGTGAATTTGACTCCCAAGTAGGTTCAATTTTTGAAGTGAAATTCTAAAAGTGACTCGGGAGGCCTGTGGCTCGTGGCTGTCCACAGTCCCAGGCTCCCTGTGGTGTGATATCAGGTCATGCCACACCTTCCTGCCTGACCTCGGATAGCATTTCTGTGTGGGACTCCTCCGGGGACCGGACTGCGGCTCTGGGCTCCTAACTCTGTCCCAGCTTCAGCTCCAGGCCCGGCCTCCCCCACTCCATCCAGATCCCCTCTGGGTCAGGCAGGAGTCCCAGGTCGAGTCCCAGTCCTGCCGTCGGTTCACCGTGTCCCGGTCACCACTCTGGGCCTTACCCCCGTCTGGTTAGCTGTCTCTCTGAGGCCCTTCTGGCCCCGACAGCCTGTCAAGGTCCCAACACAAAACCATCATTCAAGGCAAATACGCTACAGGCCCGTCGCCCCCCACTGCTTTCCCCAGCCTCAGGGCATGCTCATTTGACCTGGGGACATTATCTGCTTCTCCCCCATATTCTTCATCCCCAGACCCACCTCCAGGGATACACCCCTGGTTTGAGTTGAACAGAGGACTCTTCAAATAAAGGCACAAGCTGACCTCATCTCATTTGGACAGCCTGTTCCATGCGGAGCCCTGGAGGCGGGCTCCCCTGAAGACGGTCAGGGAGGAGGACCTAGGCTAGCTGGGGCTCTCACGGGCAGTGTGTGTGCAGGAGGAGAAGGCTTCTGGAGCTTGCTGCCAGCACACGGGGTGTCACCGGATGGGTGTGTGCCTGCCAGGGACGTCTGTGCCTCGTGGCAGATCCACCCAGCAGGGAGCGGCCCCCCCGCCCCCCTGCAGCGCCGGGTGCCATTCTGGAGCAGCTCCAGCTCTCCACTCCTCGCCCTGATCCACTTCCCCCCCTGCCTCCAGCCCCAGCCTGCGATCGGAGGCGCTCCAGGCCCTGCTAGGGACCTGAGAGCAGGTGGCTCCAGGGACTCCGGTGGGGGCGGAGGCTGGAGACAAAACCAGTTCAGCAAAGCTGACCTGGGTTCTGGCCAGGGTCCCAGCCCGCCCCCTCCCCAGGGGTGGGCAGACAGCAGGGGCCCAGAGAGGCAGCAGCCTGGGGCAGGCCCCCCACCCCCGCCTCCTCAGGTGCAGTCCCAGCTGACATGCCAAGGTGCTGTTTGCTCACTGCCAGGAGCAAATGTTCTTCCGGAGACAATAAATTGCTGAGGGCACAAGGTGCAGTGCAGGGCAGCATTTAACCCTCGCTGGGCTGGGTGCCGTGGGCTGGCTCCCCGTCCTGACTCCTGGGAGGCTAAGCCTTGCAGAGGTCAGAGCGCTGGAGGGGCGGAGGCAAGGAGGGGCAGAGAGGGCCCTGTGCTTGCGGGTTCGGTCCCTGGTTCTGCCACCGATCGGCCGTGTGACTGTGAGCGAGTGCTCAACTGCTCTGAGCCTCAGTTTCCTCAGCTGCAAAGTTGCGGGGTGGGGTAACTTCACAGTTTCTGTTGAGAGTTCCTTGGACTGAGGAGATCCAACCAGTCCATCCTCAAGGAAATCAGCCCTGAATATTCATTGGAAGGATTGATGCTTAAGCTGAAGCTCCAGTACTTTGGCCACCTGATGTGAAGAGCTGACTCATTGGTAAAGATCCTGATGCTGGGCAAGATTGAAGGCAGGAGAAGGGGATGACAGAAGATGAGATGGTTGGATGGCATCACTGACTCAAGGACATGAGTTTGAGCAAGCTCTGGGAGATGGTGGAGGTCAGGGAAGCCTGGCGTGCTGCAGTCCATGGGGTCACAAAGAGTCAGACACGACTGAGCATCTGAACAACAACAAACGGCAAAAAAGCAGTCGGCCCCAGGACACCCAAGCTGGATGAATAAACGTGAAGCGGGGTGTGAAGAAGCTGAGTGCCTTTGCCCAGGAGAGAGGGTTCCATCTCCCCCAGCTCACAAACCCACACTCAGACCCACCCCCCTCCCACCATGAGCTCTGGCCGCTGACACCCCGCTCACAGGGCTCACAGCTTCAGTACCCCTGAGGCCTCAAGAGAGGGACTGCCCCCAAGCCAGCCTCTCTTCCCCCGTTCACTGCAGGGCCGGCGTCCCCCGAGGAGGGCTGAAGGCCCCCCTCTCCCACGGCACGGCTGCCCGTGCCAGAGCCCCCAGGTTGGCCCAGCAGCGGCCAGGTTGTGGGTCCCCTTGCAGGAAGGGCAGCCCTCAGCCCCTCCAGGGGGACGTCCTGACCCCCGACAGAGCACGAGGACAGAAGGATGCCACCACCTCTCCAGTCCCGTGGGAGACCCTCCTCAGCCCTTCCAGCCCCCGCTTCCAGCCCACACCAGGTCAGGGGAGACGAGGGCCCCTCCAGCCCCGCATGGGCCTTGAGGACTCCCTGCCTTTCTCCCACTGCTTCCACCCATCAGCTGTCCCTTTCCTGTTAGGCTCCGCTCAATGCCGCCTTCCCCAGGAAGCCTCCCTTGACCACCCCTGTAACCACAATGACTTGAGTATGGGTGGCTTCCAGGCTGTGCTTCTGGCTCACTGGGACCACATCAGTTCCTTAGGATCTTTATTATCCGTCCCCAGGGCACCCCTGGCTTCCCAGCTCAGGGGTCCAGATGTCTCCTGGCACCATGCCAGGCGCAGTGCTGGCCGGGCAGCTGAGGGCACTGGAGGGCAAGTGGCTTGGCCAAGTCACTGCCGTTCCGTTGGCTCTGCTCCGGAGCGCCTGGGGTCAGAGGCTGCAATGGAGCGGGGGGACAGCCCTGCCTCCCTCTGTCCTCCGATGGGCTGGCCGTGGAGCAGTCAGGCCTGAGGGGGAAGCACCCCCCAACCCTGGGACTCTCTTCCCAGAGAGCTCACTGACATCTCTGGGAGTGGCGGGCCATCCCCTCCCTGACCTTGAACTCTGGATGCCAGCAGACTGCCCTCTTTCCCAGCTCTGGGTCTGGCCGAGGCAGGGCAGGCAGGAGGGAGGTCTGGCGAGGGCACCTTTCAGGCCCGGGACCCGGCAGCCGTGCTCAGATGGGGTGCACGAACTGGTAGACCAGACGCTGGGAGATGTCGGGCTTGCGGATGATGCCCTTCTTGTAATACTGGCGGATGGAGCGGCTCAGCTTGTCGTAATTCATGGCAGGGCGGTTCTTGCGGATGCCCCACAGCCGGGCCACCTGCGCGGAGTCCTCGATTTTGAAGATGCCTGGGGCAGTGGGGGGCCCAGGGAAAGCCAGCAGAGCAGGAGGGAGAGAGACCAAGACCAGCAGATCAGCCTCGCAGAGTCAGAAGAGGCGGGGTCGCCCCGGGGCCAGGCCAGGCTGTGGGGCCACAAGACCGTCTCCCAGGGCTGTGCTGAGGGTTAAATCAACATGTGGGGAGGTGTAGCCCAGGGCCCGGGAAGTGGGGGATCCTACTATGGACTCACAGACCTCCTGGATGCAGGGTGAGCCTGCGGTGGGTGACTCTGGGCCTTGAAGGCCTGGCCCTTGCCAGCGCCAGCTCCTAAACACCCCGCACTGAAGCCCCGTGGGGGGCTCCAGGCTGAGGACATGGCTAGTTTTGCAAGGTCACCTGTGCAGTTCCCCAGCCTGTAAGACCTCTGTGGGGTTCGAAGCCACCTCGGCCCACACAGCCCTTTCTGGCAGGATGAACTGGTAAGAGACGGTGGAAAGAGTGGGTTTGGAATCAAGCCCACCTGTGTTGGAATCCTGGCTCGGCTGTTTTCCAGCTTTGGAAGCTGAGACCCCCTTTTTCTGGTCAGTTAGAGGGGTTTGTGGTGACCACTGTCTTGGTGAGTACAGAAAGTCCTTGGAGCAGAGCCCGGGGGGAGGGGCTATTACTCACTAATATCCCCAGTTCTCTGTCTGAATCACCTGGGAAAACCCAGGTCAGCACACTCTCTCCGGGCAGGCATCCCAGATCACCCCGCCTTCCCTGATCTCCCTGTCCTCTATCGTGGGATGGTCTCCCTGGGGGACCGGCTCACTCTGTCTCAGATCCACACATGAGATCACCACAGCTCGTGCAGGAACTTCCCCACCCCTCCTAAGCCCTTTTCCTTCCTGAGCTCCACACGCAGCCCCAGAGTTGCTCCTCTCTGAGGTCCTCCTCAACCTGGGTACAGCTGGTCCCATCACAGCCAGATGCGTTCCGCACACCAGCTCATTTCACTGCTGGTTTTCCTTCCAGACTGTAGGTCCCTAGAGGATGGGGTGTCGCTGAATCCTCCCCACAGCTCCAGGACACTATAATCCTCCATAAACATTGGCTGAGCAAGTGTGGAACCAGAGGAAGTGCTCAACGAAGGTTTGTTGGATAATGAATCTAGTGTGCTTCCCAAAGACTGGAGTCCAGGTATCCATAGCTACTAACAGCAGAATGGGACCTAGAACCCAGGTTTATTGGCTCTGGACCTTTTCCAAAACACACACCCGCACACCATCCAGCCCTGTGCTGTCCAGGGCAGTCACCACTAGCCACCTGTGGCCGTGAGTCCTTGAAAAGTAGCCAGTCTGAACTGAGATGCAGTGTAAGCATGAAATACACACCAGATTTGAAAGACTTAGTAAAGCATCTCATTAATAATTTTGCAGCAATTATATGTTGAGATTAGAAGAATGTATACTATTGGATTAGATAGATGTATTACTAAAATTAAATGTACCTGTTTTCAAGCATTTTAAACTGTGGCTACTTGAACATCTAACACCGCCTGTGTGGTTTGCTCTGTATTTCTCTCGGGACACCACTGGCTTCGTCAGTGCAGCTCTGATGTTTTGACGTAGAGACTATGTCCCGTTCTCATCAGAGTTGTACGGCCCTGCTATGTGCCTGGCACGTGGCCGCTGGGGACCCTCAGCAGGCAGAGCCTGGTGGGGGACAGGTGTTCCCCCCCCAGTGTCTCTCTTCCTCCTGCCAATCTGGGAGACAAGCTGCTTACAGAGCTGCTTCCTGGAAGAAAGTTTAGGATTTGGCAGCTGAGAGGGGCCTTCGGCATGTGGCCCCTGGTTCAGAGAGGAGAGCGCATGTTGAGCCGTGCTGGTCACCTGTGAAACAGGCCTGGGACTCCCCCTCACAGGTCTTGCACGGATGAGTGGTGATGAGGTCTGCACAGCATCCCTCTCAGAATCCAGCATAACAAAAACACGCCCCGCCCTCCGGCTGCCAAGCTCCCCGCACCCCTCCACCCCCTCCAGCTCCCCACCTGCCTCCTTCCCCTGAAAAAGCAGTGGGAGGCGGAGGCAGCCGCCTTCTGCCCATGCCACCACCGGGCTCTCAGCCTGGCACTGCCCACTGCTCTTGCCAGCCCCTGGCAAGAGGCCTGGGCTGGGGGCTGGACACTGGTCTCTGATCGGACCATGAGAGTGGGACCTGTCCCCTCATTCATCCTGGGCCCCAAGGGGCAGGGCCGTGACTCAGGGAGCAGGGGACACAGGTTTGATCCCTGGTTTGGGAAGATCCCACGTGCTGCAGGGCAGCTAAGCTCGTGTATCACAGCTACTGAGCCTGCGTGCCCTCGAGCCCGTGCCCTGCAACGAAGAGTAGCCCCACTCGCCACAACGAGAGAAAGCCCACTGGCAGCAGTGACAACCTAGGGCAACAACAACAACAAAAATTAATAAAAACAAATAAATTTAAAAAAGGGAATTCCCTGGCAGTCCAGTGGTTAGAGCTCTGTGCTTTTGCTGCCAAGGGCCTGGGTTCAATCCCTGGATGCGGAACTGAGATCCCAAAAGCCATGTAGTCACGCAAAAAAAAAAAAAAAAGATTAAAAATAGGTGCGCTGTACAAACAACGAAGGTGAACAAGGTCCAAGACACACTGTCCAGTACAAAACAGCGTGATACTCATCCTAGTTGTGTTAGGAAAGGGTAGAAGTCACACTTACTCTTGCTTGTATATGCATAGGTACCCAAGAAACGGGCAACAGTGGTTGCCTCGAGGGAGGGGGATTGGGGGCCAGGGGAGGGAAGTGGGAGCGGTACCCTCCATGGTATACTGTGGTTCACAACAGTTTGTTTTTGAAAAAAATTCTGTACATTTATTGCCTTATTTCTGCTTTAATGATGTACAACACAAAACAAACACAAAATTTTTACAAGGACTAGGAAGGAGGACTTGGGAGGATCCAATGTCCTGCGTCCTCACAGTCTACCGTATACTTTTAACTTGCCGCGTGCTCTGTCCTAGGTTCTGCGGCCTTGATCAGGGTAGGCAGACAGCCGGGGCTGGAGGGCTCACCCAGGATCCAGGGAGGCAGCGGTCCGTGGGGCCAGGATTCAGAACGGAACCCAGGTGGGCATAAGGGGCTGCTTCCCCCGTAACCCGCGGGCAGGCATCCTGGCCTAACTTCTCCCCTGACGGCCTGGGCTTGGAGCCTGGGGGTGGGGCGGGGGGGTGCTCCACCGACCTGATTTCCAGATGTCCAGATGGGCGTGCAGCACGTCCCCGCCAAGGGGCGAACGCTGGCGGAACTGCTCCTCCGACATGGCACACAGCTCCTTGCCCCCCAGCTCCTGGAAGGCCTTGCCCACGGGGGGCAATCGGTACTGGTGTTCCGTCCACAGGAGCCACTTCTGCACGTTGCCGGGGCTCCAGTCCACGGGGTCTGAGCGGGAGACACTCTTTCAGCCCCGGACTCTGCTTGAAGGCACTGCCCCGGGGGGGTCCCCTCTGCCCTGATGGAGCCCCTGTGGGAATCTATGTTCTCCCGGAACAGCCTCCAGGCCAGACAGAGGCTTGAGGGTTTTTTTGGAGGTGGGTACCCAAGAAGAGAGGAGATGAGGGGAAGGATCCAGGGCCCTGAAAGCAAACATGGCTCAGGGCAGGGGAGCCTGGAGCTTCTGCACCTCCATCTCACCTGGACCTCAGCTCCTCCCACGCCCCCCCAGCCCCTCCAAAGGGCCCTTTGGGGAGCCCCAGCGCTGGAGGGGACAGTGACACGATACCAGAGACACCCCAGCTTCTTCCTTTCCCAGATTCCTCTCTCCTGCCCAAAACCCTCACAGGACCAGAGAAAAACCCAACCAGGGATCGGCCCCACCCGCCGCCGAGGAGGAAACAAGACACAGAGGGGGCTCCCTCCCCGCGTCCAGCACCCGACGAAGGGCTGGCCATCAGGGCGCCGCTCAGCACACATGCTCTGTGGGCAAAGGGCAGGGCAGGGGGTGCTCACGGGACCGAGGCCCAGGGGGGCGTCCCTGGCTGGGCTCCAGTCTTCTCCCTGGGGAGCCGCCCTGGGGTGAACCCAGCTGCGGGCTCCGACACAATGGGGCCTCCAAGTGAACGTCAGGCTCTCAGGGGGTGACCTGCAGACCGACCTGCCCCTACCTAATAAACCCATTTTCCTCCCCAGGGTCAAAGCCATTTGTTTCTGTCCCTATTGTTCACAGGGCAGGGCCCTCCCCAGCCCGGGGCAGGAGCGGGGCACCGTGGGAAAGCCTCCGGGGTGCGGGCTGGCTGTGGCATTGGGCCACTGGGGGAGGGGACCCTGGGCAGGGGCTGCCTCAAGGGGGGCCCCAGCTGAGACTACTGGGGGGCAGGGTCTGGGCCCAGAGGACTCTGGGGAGGAGGAGTCGGGCCTGAGGACCTCTCCTGTGTGGGAGGCTCAGACACCTCGAAGGCCAAAGAGATGCATCAGACGCTCCCAAAGCTGGAGAGGCGCTGGCGGGACCGGTAGGGGCCCCAGCAGCCCCTCAACCGGCAGCATCAGCTCCGCAACCACACCCTCCAGGCCCCGGACACACACGTGCCTCACCTCCTGATGGCTCTCCTCCTCAGAGCCCTCACCCCCACCGGACCAGAGACACATTGATCTATTTATCTATGATCTGTTTCGTCACTGTAATGTCAGCTTCATGAGCAGAGGAGCCTTTCTGCTGTGTCCACGCTGAATCCCTCATATAAGGGATAAGGGCATATTAGGTGACTGTGTGAGCATCTATTAAGTACCAGGTACCATCCCAGGAGCTGGGGATGTGTGTGCAACCCCATGGACTGTAACCTGTCAGGCTCCTCTGTCTATGGGGATTCTCCAGGCAAGAATACTGGAGTGGGGTTGCCTTGCCCTCCTCCAGGGGATCTTCCCGACCCAGGGATGGAACTGGCGTCTCCTGAATTGGTAGGCAGATTCTTTACCGCTGAGCCACAGGGGAAGCAGGAGCTAGTGACGTAGCAGTGAAAGAAATAAGTGAAAATCCCTGCCCTCAGGGCATGTACCTTCCAGTGAGGGAGACAGTCGGGGAACAAATAAACATGCAGCAAATCAGACGGTAGGAACCACGAGAGAAATAGAGCAGGTTGGAAGAACAGGAGGGCAGCAGTTTCAGTAGAAGGGTCAGGAAAGGCCTCATCGAGGTGGCACCATTTGAGTCAAGGCCTGAAGGAGGTGAGGGGTGAGCCAAGTAGATATTTGAGGGAAGAGTACTCTGTGATGAGGAACTAGCAAGTGCAAAGGTCCTGGGGTGTGAGTGTTGTGGGGAAGGCAAAGAGGCAGGAGAGTCTGGAGCAGAACAGGCCGGGGACTGTGCACTGACGTGTGAGAGCAGGAGGTGGGCCAGATGGCGCAGAGCTCGTATTCATTCACCCGGTGCCTGCCACGTGGGGACACCAGGCTGGCACGGCCGGGGCGCAGAGAGGCTGAGAACCTTGGCTCCCAGGCTCGCCGCTGCTGCGTTAGGGACTGGCTGCATGCGGAGGAGCACCAGCATCTCTGGGGATGACCATGGTGTGCCAGGCGGCACCCTCGTCCCTCCCGGTGGCTGCTGCTGGCAGAGGAGGGGCTCACCTGCCGTGATGTTGAGCAGCTTGCAGGCCGTCTCGATGTCCTTGAGCACCTCGCCCACCACCATGGACTGCACCTGCTCCAGCGAATGCTCCTCCAGGGTCAGCCCGCCCGGGGCCAGGTCCAGGCTGCCCCCCGGGGCTTGGCTGTCAATGACCGGGCATTGCTCCGGCTCGTCGGGCGGCTCCTCCCGCGCACTGGCCCCGGGGCCCTTGGCCGCCCAGCTGCTATCCTCGGGGTACAGCATGTCAAAGTAGGAGAGGTAGAAGGTGGGTAGGCCCTGCTCGGGGGTGGCAGGCGGGCTGGGGCTCCAGTCCCGCCGCTCGGGCCCCGTGCCCCCCGCGGCCGCCTTCTCCAGGCCTGTCCGCAGCGCGCTGTCTGGGGGCAGCAGGAGGCGGCCGGGCGGCCCGGGGCTCAGGCCTGGGCTGGCGCTGCCCATGCTGCTCGGGCTGGCGGCTGTGTCTACAGAAACAGAACAGGAGGGAGAGTCAGGCCCCGGTTGCTTCCCTGTCCCCGTGGGGGCCGCTAAGCTGGTTATGGAGATGAGGAGCCCAGTGGGCAGCGGCCGGGCCTGGGAGAGAGCCGGGGCTTCCGGGTCACTGGGCAGCTAAGACAGGGCTGGGCAGATGGGCCCTGTGGCTGGGACGGGACGTGCAGAGCTGCAAACAGGCGGCTCCCTCGCTCCCCAAGGAAGTCGGGGTGCTGGGAGCAGTGTATTTTTACACAAGTAACCTGTTTAAAACAATCTCCTGAAGTGCTCGATCACATTTGGTCCTCACAAAGGAAGGCCCAATTAGTTCCATTTGGCAGATGAGCAAACTGGGGCCTGGACAAGGTGGCCAGCCCCCCACCCAGATCCCAGTCTGCTGTCCCATCGATGAAGCTCCTTCTGTGGTGGTGGTGGTGGTTTGGTTGCTAAGTCGTGTCTGACTCTTTGCAATCCCATGGACTGTAGCCCGCCAGGCTCCTCTGTCCATGGGATTCTCCAGGCAAGGATACTGGAGTGGGTTGCCATTTCCTTCTCCAGGGGATCTTCCCAGCCCAGGAATCGAACCTTAGTCTTCTGCACTGCAGGCAGATTCCTAATCTTTTCTGCTGGGACAAAACTTGTTTGTTTTTGTTCTGCCCTTGAAGAGGGTAGGGAAGGGAAAAGGTCACCATGATCTCCCATGGGCCAGGTGAAGACAGACGAGCAAGTGAGGGTGTGGCAGGGAGAAGCCCCTCCCAGGTCAGGCAGGCGGCCCCCTGCCCCTCACACAGGGCCGCTTTTGTGAGCTTAGTCTGACTCTTTGTGACCCCATGGACTGTAGCCCGCCTGGCTCCTCTGTCCATGGGATTCTCTAGGCAAGAATACCGGCGAATTCTTGACCCAGAGATCGAACCCTGGTCTCCTGCATTGCAGGCGTATTCTTTACTACTGGGCCACCAGGGAAGCCCCAAGTTGTGCCGGGAGTATGGATAAACTCTCAGCCCAATGTTGCTGAGGTGGCCACCCAGCAACACCCCCACTCAGGGCCAGGCTCCTGCTACCCGCCCCACCTGAAAGATGCTGCCGCGGCCTCTCCCAGCTCCCGGGGCCCTCTCCTCTCCCCTCACACCTTGGAGGACCTCGCAGCTCCCCAGGTGGGAGGTGCCCACGTGCACGTTTCTGTGGACCCACACACCCCAGTTTCCTCACGGCTGCAGGGGCTGGAGAGAAGGCCAAGGCCCAAGGGGACAAATGAGGCCCTCAGCAAGCCCACTCCCCCCCGGCCCCCCAAGGCCACCCAGGGGGCACTGTTTGGCCTCAACGCAAAGACCCAGAGGCCTCCTTCCCCATCGGTCCCCAGGCTCTGCTGCCCCCGGACCCTTTCCTCTGAGCCCCATATTGGAGGTTTGGGTGAGGCAGGGGACCTGCAATGTGTAGGCACAGCAAAGAACTGGGGTCCCTGGGATACTTCCGTGACTTGAGAGTCAAGAATACATCAGGACAGATGTGGGAGATGACCAACAAATACATGCTCCCTGTAACACAGTGGGTCATCCTCAAAGGTAGAAAGGAGCAGATAAACCTGATAAGGGCAAGTTCATATGTGTCCTTTCTTGGGGGTATTTATACTTTATACAGTGTTCTCAAAATGTGCCCGCATCCACAGCATCAGCACCACTCATGAGGAACTCGTATTTTCAGGCCCACATCAGAGCTACTGAATCAGAAGCTCAGGGGTGGGGAGGAAGGCCCAGCAAGGCATTTCTTTTCTTTTTTTCTGGCCATGCCTCATGCTTGTGGAAACTTAGTTCCTTGACCAGGGATTGAACCTGTACCCGCTACAGTGGAAGTTCAGAGTCCTCACCACTGGATTGCCAGGGAATTCCCAGCAATGAGTCTCAACAGGCCCTTTGATTGTGATGGGGGTTCAAGTTTGAGAACTGGCTTTGAAGGCACCTGGCCAGCATGAGGGGGAGGCTTTACTAGAAGCCCTGTAGACCTGCTTGGCCACAATGTGCAGGTGGGATAGAGAAAGAGCCCCGTTTGGAAGGTTCAGGCTTCTATAACTAGGGCTGCAGCTAGTGCAGCTGCATGCAACTCAGAAAATAATGCCCTTTCCTCTCTGGGCAGTGCGGCTTGGTGAGCGGAGCCCAGGTGGAACTTCAGCTCCCCCTTGTCCCTTACCCTTGTGCAGTACCCAACCTGCCCAACCTGACTTGGCAGCTCTGCTCTTCCTGTGGCACAGAGAATGCCAGCAAGAAAGAAAGGTGTTCCCTTTCATTTCAAGTCTCCCTTTCAAGTTCCTTTAAGTGACAAGGAAGGAAAGTTTGGGGTGGGGTGGGCAGGGATGGGGGGGCCGGGATTGAGGGGGACAGAGGGCAGGCTTGGAATTATTTCAAGTCCTTCTGTGCAAACACACGTGTGTGCTGTGAGCCCATGTTATTTACCCAGGCAGAGCCAACAACCCGCTCTGCCCTGGGTCCCCACCCCGGCCTGTGCCCACACCCTACCCCCCGGGGAGCCCCACCCCTGGAGAGCCCCCTCAACCCCACCCTTCCCTCATCACCCCGCCCCATCCACGTCCCCAGAACTCCCCGACCTGCCACGTTAGGACAGTCCCTGCCAACACCTTGGGCCGTGTGCCAGGGAGACGGAACCTTTTCCAACAGGCAGGAGAAATTGCCTCCCTCACGGCCCTCCTGTTTGCTTGGCCGCAGTCACAGGTAGGATGGGGCACAGTGGCGCGAGGGGTCAGTGAGAATGAATGGCTAGGGCGTAGGGGTTAGCATTGGCCAGGTGAGGACATGACGACACATCCCTGACACATTGGTCAAGCGACTTCGGGGGCCCTCGCTTTCACCCCCTTCCCAAGGGAGCCTTAGTGCTCATCCCTGCGCTGTGACGGTGCAGAGAACCGAACGGCTCAGATGCAGGTCTTCCGGCTCCTGGCCCGGGGATCCTTCACCAGCAGAGACTTCCAGCCTTCTCCTCCACACCCCACATTCCAGCTCCCCCCGCCCCCTGTCACCTTGCTCCTAAATGCCAAGGAACCTGCTCTCAACCAAGGCTTGGTCCCAGCTCCAACACCTCCCTGGCGGAAAAGAAGTTAACGATTAACCATGCGGCAGGAGGAAAGAGCCCACAGCCTGCAGGTGGGACGCAGTGTGGAAGGCTGAGCCCAGCCCAGGGGACTTGGGTTTTCTGGTCAATGAGCCAGGGGCTGGTGTGTCCAGCCTGCAACTCTGGTGTCTTCTCCAGGCTCTAGGGCTGGACCCGGGAGGGCAGAGAATGCATGTGGAGTACCTCTTATGCCCAGAGCATGTGTACACGCTACCCTCTGACTACCCACAGGGGCTCAGGCACCTGCTTTGTGGATGTGGACAGTAAGGCTCAGAGAGGCCATGCAGCTTGCCTGAGGGCCCCAGCTGGCCTTGGGCGGTCTCTGCTCTTGTACCACGTGCCCTCTGAGGCTCCTGCTCTGGCTGGTCCCATCTCCCCAGGGCCCTGCCCACCTCCTGATTGGCCAGCTTGGTCTTCCAGAGTCCATTCCTGCCTCCTATCCGCTCACTCCACTGCACGATCAAGCTCATTTCCCTCCAACACCCTTTTATCAGGCAGCCCTGGGCTCTCGAACCTCCCATGGCTCCCCACCGCCTGCCCTGCCTGATCCCAGGGGCTGGTGCCCACCTCTGAGCGCTAGACCTCAGAGCCCAGAGCGGGAAACAGATTTATTCACTGGTTAGGGGCAGGGTCTGGAGCAAAGCACATATCCAGGCTCTGATGGGAACGGTGTTTCTCCCTCAGACCCTGAGCTGTGGGCGTGACACGGCTATTTTCTCTTGTTTTCATCATCCCCCTGTCCACAATGCCCCTCCCTTGTCATCACAGTTCAGCCCAAAGTCCTCCGTGGCCGCTCCCTCCTCTGACTTTTCAGCTCTCCCCGTCTGTGCAGTTCAGCCATGAGTACGTTCGTGGGTGATGGTCTCTGCATGGGGACACTGGGAAAATGAGGCTCAGAGAATGGCCAGGAGGTGTCGGTAGTCACACAGCAGTGCCCGGATCACTGCACTCTGGGTCCTGCGGCAAATCCGGGCTCTGCCGGGTCCCGCTCCCTCCCGAAAACCCAGGCCCGAGGGGCTGCCCGTCTCCTGAGCAATGCCTCCAGCTCCCAAACCTCGAGCTGATCTTTTCTGAATTAAGGCTCAGCGTGTCCTGGTTCCCTCTTGCCCAAGAGGCACTGGCTCTGACTCCAGACAAAGAAGTTTGGTAACAGCTGGTGGAGGCCGAGGCCCAGAGACAGGGCAGACTCATGCGGCTGCAGCCAGAGGGATTACCACCTTGGCCCCTTCTTTCCGCACCTTGTGGTCCCCCAGGAAGACAGAGAGGGGGCAGTGGGCAGGGGGACCCAAAGTTAGAGATTTATGGCAGCTGTTTCCAGCCCCTCGGGGCCACCCGGACATTAGAAAGATGCTCAGACAGCTCCCGAAACCACAGCCCCAGGGAGTCACCGGGAGGTCTTTACTGAGGCCCTGGGCTGTCAGGAGGGTGGAGCCTGTCTCTCACAGTCTGCTCAGATCTTACTCCCAGTGGGGTTGTGGGGTGGGGGCGGTAAATATGCCTCGAGCCCCCACCTCAATCCTGAGACACAACCTTAGTCTGCCCAGGGCCCAGGACTGCAGGCCCTGGGAGGAGAGGGGAGGGGCTGGGGCAAGGTGTGACAAGCCTGCCACTCGGCCCAGAGTCTCCTCACTCCAGTATCTGGGGGCAGACCGCCTCGGGTTTCCCCACCAGTGGCGGCCCTTCCCTCCCTCCATTCCAACCTCTGTGTCCATATGAATGGGTCAGAATGAGGGGGCTTCGGGGGTACAGCCCCTGGGAGCCATGCAGAGTGGGCAGGGGCCACGTGGGCCTGTCCCCTCAACTCCCAGGCAGTCGGTCAGCACCTTGGAGAGAAGCCGGGCCTACCCAGGCCAGTGCTCAGGGCCCACCTGCTGCCGTCTGAAGCCTCCCTGCCTCTGGCCTCAGCCTTCGTGCTCCCCTAGAAGACAGTCCCTTCCTGCCCTGCCCACTGCCCCCGCCCAGCCCCCTCACTGCTCCTGGGACAGCTGCTACACTCCTAGGAAAATGCAGCTCCCCTGCCCTCCGAGACTGCTCTTCAAACCAGCTAGATCCAGGGACTTCTCTGGTGATCCAGTTGCTAGGATTCCAGGCTTTCACTGCTGAGGACACAGGTTTGATTCCCGGTCAGGGAACTAAGATACTGCAAGTTGCACAGTGCAGCCAACATAAAGAAAAGAAAGGAATGAGCTGGAAGCAACTAGCAGAAGCAAAACTTCGACTTGGGGAGATTTAACTTGGGGAGCCAGTCCTCAGGCCTAGGGAGACTTGGGAGTGGGGTCAGGGCCAAGCAGCAGAAGGATGGGGGGCAGGAAACAAAAAGTCAGGGGACATCAGGGAATTGTGATCAGCTCAGATGGTAAAAGTATCTGCTTGCAATGCAGGAGATCTGGGTTCGATTGGGAAGACGGTCAATTGAAGGGTCGGGAAGATCCCCTGGAGAAGGAGATGGCAACCCACTCCAGTATTCTTGCCTGGAGAATCCCATGGACAGAGAGGAGCCTGGCGGCTTGCAGTCCACGGGGTCGCAGAGAGCGACTTCGCTTTCTGTGTTGCCTGTTGTTCCCGTGGGCAGCCAGGAGCCCAAGGCATGAGTACGTACCAGCACCCCCTCCCAGTCGCTCCTGCACGTGGGTATATTAGGCATCCACTTCGATTGAAGGGTCGGGAAGATCCCCTGGAGAAGGAGATGGCAACCCACTCCAGTATTCTTGCCTGGAGAATCCCATGGACAGAGAGGAGCCTGGTTTCCAGCCCTTCCAGGGACAAGGTGAAGGCCAAATAAATAAACTGCTTGGGCTCCCCCACGGTCTCCTCCGGCAGCCAGGATTATTCCCACCTGACAGGCAGGGGCGGTGAGTGCCTGGGGGCATGTGTCCATGGTGACTGGGCAGGGACTGGGAGTCAAGGGTGAGCTCCACCCTCTTTCTTGCTGGAGTCTTGGCACCTTCCGACTTCTAGGGTCACTCCTGTTGCCTCGCTCAGGCTACCTGCAGGGCCAGCCCCACGGAAGTCGCACTGGGGTGTCTGGGTGGCATGGATGCCTGAAGCCTGCAGATACAGGGACCCCCCCTCAGCCCCAAGCTCACCCCTGTATTCGAGTTTGCTCCAAAGGGGTGGGAGGCCTGGAAGGAACTCGAGGCCTCAGCATCTGGAGGTCTGGGTTCATAATCTGCTGTTTCCACTGTATCTGAGGCCCTGGGCAGCCCCTGGCCTCCTCGGCCTCAGTCTCATCCTCTGTTCTTCCAGGAGATAAGTCAGCTCCCAGAGCTTTTCTGGCCCAGACACTGTCTGGAGTCTGTGACCCCATGACCTCCATCATGCCCGCCAGGCTGACTTGGGTTGGACATCAGAGGCAGGAAGAACTGGTCCCAGCAGCCCTCAGGCCAACTCGCTGCCCCGAGAGCAGAGACCTGGGCCCCACCCCTGCCTAACTCAGGCGGTCACCCCCAAACCCCTGTCCTCAATCCCAGAGCTGGAGCGAGAAGGAAGGGCCCCTTGGATTCTGGCGGTCTCGGAAGGACCTCATCAGCCCTTCCTACAGCCCAGGGAGGGCGCTGGCCCATCTGACTCCCGCAGTGTCCCACTCCGGGCCCTGGCCTAGGGGGAGTGACCTGGAGGAGTCTGGAGGCCCGGAGAGGTGGGAGACGAGAATCTGGCAGGGGGCACCTCCTGGACTGGGAACATGCAAATGAGGCAGGGGAAGGAGCCTGGCATTAAATGTCAGGAAGGGCCCAGGGCAACTCAGCTTGTGCAAAGTTTGCTTTGGGAAGAGTTGCTCCACCTGACAGGCCACTCTCCTGGCCAGGGGTGCAGGGTGGAGCATGGAGCAAGGTGGGGGCGGCGCGGGGCAGCAGAGGGTCCCACGCTGCTTGGAGCCCCAAGCCTAGCTCTGGCAGCGGGGCTAGAAACTCAGCTGCATGTCTGTTGAATGGGCTGTTAAGAGCAGGTCTTAAAAGGGTTGTGGAGATTGAGGGGGACAGTGGATGGAAAGTCCTTGCGAATTACAATGGGCTGAGCATAAATGAAGGTGGCAGGTGAGGGGACCAGGCTGGAGAAGAAGGAGGGAAAGGTAACAGGGTGAAGAGTGACGGGAACAAAGGAAGAAGCAGGTGGTGATGCTGGATGGAGGGGCAGGGCCAAAGGGTGGAGTCTGGGGGAGAGTTGAAAATGGTGATGGGAGAGGCCTGGACCTTGCCCCAAGGTCAGCCTGCTCTCTAGCCGGGTCCAGGGCAGCTCCTGGCTGCACTCACTCCTCCCCGGCCTCTAGGAGGAGCCCGAGCCAGAGGCCCCCACTTCCCCTGACCTCAGCCTAGGAGACCAGACTGGGAAACCACACAAGTTTCACAAAGCGGCAACGCCAGCCAGCCTGCCTCCACCAACTCCTACACAGCCTTCAAAACCCCACTCCAGGGTGCTTCTTCCACGAAGCTTCCTTTCACAGAGGAGGCCACCTTGTCTAACCTGCTGCAAGCTCAGGGAGTCGGAGGGACTCGCCTGAGGTGACACCTTGCAGGTTCTGAGCTGCCCCTTCTCGCCCTCCGCCAGAGGGCCCTGTCCCCAGTTATGCTCGGGCTGCACCAAGTCGCTCAGCACACAGCTGTGCTCTTGTCTGCTGCAGGGTTATTCCCTTCGTGGCTGCGACCACCTCCGTGGCAGGAAGTGGGCTTCCTGGTTCCTCCACTCACCGCCAGGCTCACACTTTCTGAGCACTGATTGAGCACCTACTGAGTTCCACCCTATTTCCTCAGGCTTGGTTGACAAGAGACGTTTTGCGTAATCCAGCGGCTTGTGGCAACCCGGTGGCACAGCATCTGCCAAAGCGTTTTATAATCAGAAACACAATAACCAAGTCCGGCAGGACCTGAGTTCTCAGCTCTGGGCCCCTCATGGTGCCTATTAGGCTCTCAAAGGGGCAGGTGGCTCCTGACCCCATGAGAGACCACCTCCTCCACACCCCAACCTCCCGGGAGCTCTGAATTCTGAATTTTGGGGGAGCCCTGAGCAGCTGGGGGGGAGTCCCTGGTTCCGGCCCTCCCCGCATTGGATGGGGGTGAGCAGACTGGCTGGCTGAGCTGAGCCCTGGCGTGGGCACCCCATCTGATGGGTAATCTCCTGCCCGCCACCTGGGGCCTGGGGCAGCCCCAGCGCCTGTTTGCTCTGTTACTCAGCCGAGCAGCTGGGTAGATGGTTGCTTTCCTGGGGGTGGCTGTGAGGCTGTTTATTGGGGAGTAGGGGCAGGAAGTGAGGCCAAGTCCCAGGCCTGGCTAAAGAGGAGCAGAAAGGCCATGGCTGTCAGGCAGGGGATAGCCCGCTTGAGGCCTGGGTGCGGGCTGCTGGGTGGGCACAGCTGGAGGGGAGGGGGGACCCGGGCTAGCTCAGGGCACTGCCCCCACCCCGAATGCATGCATGCACACGTGCACACACACCTTGTCCGGCTCCAGGGGAGGCTCCAGCCACCGAGACCCTTCAACCCTCCACGCTGTCACCCCCATCACCCAGTTCCTTCCCCCCACACTGGAGGCACCTGGCAAGTCCTAGAAGGGGGCACCTCCAGGCCCCTGCCCTCACCCGCACTGTTTTCCCCACGTGCCCAGAGGCGCTGTGCCCCCCGCCCCGGGGACTCAAGGCAATCACTCCGATCCCCTGGTTCCCGTGAGCACCACACCCACCCCCCACCCAAGCCGCTGGGCTCTGGAACTGTAGCCCCTGCTCCAACCCCGGACCCTGGCCCTGACCCGGAGCCTCCAGGCTCCAGCAGGGCCCTGCCCACTCGTGACCAGGCTCTGAGAGACCCTGCCCCTGGCAGAGTGGCCGTGCTGGCAGCCACGAAAGGCTGCCTGTGTTTAACTAGCCAAGCAGAACCGGCTTGGTCTCGGGCCGAGGCTCCGCACCTGCAGAGCCGCCTCCCCTCAGGCTGGGCAGGGTGGGCTCAGTGTGGAGTTCAGACGGGCTCATCACAGACGTGGGGCACCCCAGGCCACCCTCTCCAGGCCAGGGGGCTTAACTGGGCCCTGGGGTCAGCCCAGGGGGTGGGGGCAGGCCGGGCAGGCAGTATGCACAGGGATCGGGGGCTTCTGAGGCTGAAAGACCCAGATCAGGGTCATCAACACCTGGGAGCCTGGTGTTGAAAGTTCCCTCCACCACCCACCTCCCCAGAGCTGGCAGGGGAAAGCCCCCATGGCCGGGCACTGACCCCCCCACCAGACTTACCCGTTAGCTGCCTGGTGCCCAAAGAGTCGTCCACGGTGGCGCCAACCTTGGGGGCCAGGGGGAGGCACAGGCAGCTGGGACCACTGCTGGGTCTCAGCCAGGCATCTGGGGCGCCGGCGGTACCAGGGGCCGACAGGACCGAGGGCGGAGGTGGCACTCGGGTGGGCCGCCGGGGGCCTGGCCACCCTCGACGGGCGGCTCTCTGAGGTCTCAGGGCTGCACGCCCCGTAGGGAGCCCCCCTGCCCCCAGCTCAGGGCCACTTGCTGGCACCGTGGCGAGACCCAGCCAGGGGGGCTTACAAGGGAGGCTGCGGTGGGCTCGGGGGACCGCGTCTGCGGGGCAGTGTGGACACGGGCGGAGTGCAGGAATGTGCTGGGAGGAAGTTAGGCAGCAAGAGATGAAGAGTTGGCTGGGGCCTGATTTCCCATTATAAGTAATCCTTCCTTATTTACCTGAACAAATACGCTCCCTGCTTACCTCAGACCACAGACGGGCTCCTGGTTAACCCTTGCAGACCTCCCCCTCCTCGCTGGGGGAACCACCCCCTGGCAGCCTGGGAACTCATTCAGTCACTCATTCGTGCATTCATTCACTCACTCACTCATTCATTAGTTGATATATCGTTACCGAGTTCATCTTACATGCAGGGTACAGGGGCTATATTGAGTGGGGTCAGCTGAGGGCAGGGGACAGATGAGCAGGCAGCATTAGAAAAAGCCCAGTGGAGGGATGTGGGAGAACACTGACGGTGGGCATCTGGCAAAGGAAGTCAGCAAGGGCTTCCTGGAGGAGGTGCTGTCTGGCTCCCCAGGTCAGGGGTGGAGAGAGCTTTGGGGAAAGAGACCCAAGGCTCATAGGCCCGCCCACCCTATGCTCTGCCCCACAGGGCCTGGCGCAGGCCTGTCATAGCCTGGTTCTCAGGAAGGACCAGTAGCTCGCTTTCCCAGGCCCGGAGCGGCGGTCAGCCGGCAGCAGCACAGAAGCTCCAGCCCCAGCACCGCCTGGGCTCCTCCACCTCTGGGAGACCAGGCGAGGCCCCGTAGCCAAGCTCTCAGCTTCTTCCTCGTCCTGCCAGGTGGGCTGAGGGCTGCCCTGCCCTCCAGGGCCTCTTGTTCTAAATCACCTTGGAAGGGCACCTGGCATCTGAAACCCCCACGCTGTCAGATGGAGGCATTTCAGACAGTATTTATTGTTATGTTCCCATTTCAGAAGTAATTGTGTCACTACAGTCACACAATTGTGTGACAACTTACAGTATGATTTTTCTAGGGCCTCTGGAAGATTCCAAGGCTTTCAGAACCTTGCCCCCTCACCTTAACTGATGCTAAAATTTTCTACCATATGGTTGCACTTTTCACCCTGGAGAGCCTGTGCTTAGCTGTTAACTATCACAGGTGTCTTGGTAAGGAGGAATTATCAGAGTCATTTCCCTGAGAAAGTGGAGGTAGGATGGAATGGAGATTGGGGAGGTAACATGAGTTTCCAAAATGACTACGGTCAACCATCCCAGCCTTCCAGAACCAAGAAAAAAAGAAAGAACTCCAACATTCCCAGGCGGGACCTTCTCTCCATTCTCCCAGAAGCTTGCACTTGTATTAGCACTAATAGTAATGGCCACTGAGCACTTACTAAGTGCCAGGCACAGTTTATTGCTCACGAGACACTAAGGTATTGATCACATTATAAGTACTGTAACATGGGTGAGTACAGGGAGTATCCAATAAATGCTAATTGAATGGATGGGGTGTCATAGATAGTTACCCCCAATGTCCATTCTCTTTTCCTCAATAAACAAACACCTACTTTATCTGGGAACCTGGCTACCTGGAACTAAGACTATCTCAGACTCCCTTGCAGCTAGATGCGACTGTGGGACCAAGTAGCGGTGTCATGTGTCACTTGCTACGAATCTTTCTTAAAAGTAAACTATCAAGAAAAAAAAGTAAACTAGCATGTATGATTTACCTCCTTCTTTATCCTTCCTCTGTGTTACTGCCTGGGATGCAGCTGTGATGGCTGGAATCTTGGCTGCCATTTTGGACCATGGAATCAAAATGCTGGAACAGTGAGCTGGAAGGAGCTTAGGTCTTTGAGGACTGCATAAAACCTCCATACTGGCTTTGGATTGCATGCCTCAGGACTTCTGTGAGAGAAACAGACCTTTGATTTTTGTTAAGTGGTGTCTTTATTACTCAAAGTCAAGCCTGATTCTATGAGACAGACCAGAAGATGGGAAGATAGATGAAGACAATACTCTTGCAGCCAGAGAAGACATTTCATGACTGGGTGGCACTGAGAAGGGAACTGGTCATACCACAGAAAACCTTCACCTTGGGAAGGCTGCTCCTTGAATGCTGGTACAGCTTTGCCTTGGGCCCAAAGGAGCACTTCATAGGTGTCCCCAGGAATGGTGGGCCTGCGTGGATGGACCAGGATAAGCTGTGCTGAGAACGGACAGTGATTATACCCACCCAGGCCTGGAATAAGGAAACAAAGCTGCCTTTGGAGGATGGAAAGATCCAAGAAGTAGCAAGGATATGACCCTGCATCCACTCAGCCGGGTTCACATGGACCACAGCGCTAAGAGGCTGCATGGGAGGATGTCCGTGGTGGGCTCAAGGCAGATTTGGTGCTCACCTGGGGCAAACCTGCCTGTGGGCTCCAGGGGAAGGGAGGGCCAAATAAGGGACTCTGGGTAACATACCCCACCAGCACCTTGATCCATCCAGCACGGTGTTGTAACACCAGCTCAGGGTTTGACCCAAATACACACCCTAGTTCTGTCACCTTCCACCTTTGTGACTTTGGCTGGAACCTACCAAACTCCCCCTTCCCCTCTCTGAGGCACTCTCGGAGCTGTGGTATTAGTTAGTGTTAGTCACTAAGTCATGTCCAACTCTTTGCGACCCTATGGACTGTAGCCCGCCAGGCTCCTCTGTCCATGGGACTCTCCAGGCAAGAAAACCAGAGTGGACAAGAAAACTAAATGGTTCCTTCTCCAGGGAATCTTCCCAACGCAGGAATCGAACCAAGGTCTTCTGCACTGCAGGTGGTTTCTTTACCATCTGAGCCACAGGGAAGCCTAGAGTTGTGGTGAGGGGTGAGATAAAGTTGTGAAAGTGCTCTGCAAACCTCACCTCCCGGGGCCTTGCTGATGACCAAGCACAAAGCCATGTCATCTTATTCCCCATAGCAGCCCTTTCAGGTAACTTACTGTGCCCATTTTCCAGGTGAAGAAACTGAGGCCCAGATGTTACAGTGTCTTGTAACAAGGTCATGATGGTAATCAGATATAAGCTCATATCTGAAGTTTCCTCGATCACCTTATGCCTGATAGTACCCTCTTACTAGCCACCTTGTTCCCTTGGGGTCAAGTCCCAGGTCCTTAGCATGGCTCACTCGGTCTAGTAGAGTTTCCGTCTCCTGCCCACAGCTCCCCAAGGCTGGTCTCCCCTTCAGTCCCCCTTAGGCCAGCCCCTCAGGGGGTGAAATCTGCCCCCTCCTGTTCTCCCCCACCCATCCATTACGGGCAATGCCTTTCCCACATCCACCCGCTGCCGACCTGGGGTCCAACACACACCCACTCCATCCTGGAACTTTTCTCTGACCTACTGAGATAACATTCTCTCCAGCCACTGGGGTTTCTCAGGCTTGAGCGTGTACATGGGGAGCTGTCACCCCCTCGGGCTGTGAGCTCTGACAGCAGAGCAGGAGCCTGGTGGAGCCATCGCCCTCTGCACAACCCGGATGAACCGGGAAAGTCCTTTTTCTGTCGTTCAAATGGAGTTGAGTTTCTTCTACTTCAATGGAAAGAATCCTCATCTTTTGAGCCCCAACTCAAGAGCTCTCTACTCCAGAGAGTTTTCTCGTGTCCCCTCGAGCCCCTGCAGACCCCACATGTCCCAATTCTTTGTCTCCTTTTCCCAGTGTTTCTTTCCTTCCCCAGAGTCTAACTCCTTGAGGGCAGGCACTTGGCTTGGCGCTGCCAGCCCCTGACCGCCTCTGGACCTTTATCACCTCCCCTGTGAATGGACATAACACCTGCCCTGCTGATCCTGCTGGCAGGGCCTTGTGATGAGTGATGAAAAACTGAGAAAGGAAGTGGAAAGGGCGGTCTGTCTTTGTCTATTGGTCAGTTGGTCAATAGACTGCTGCTCCCATGTCCTTGGGTCCCACTCTCCTAGGATTCCCACCGCCTGGAGCACACAAGTCCCCCGGGCCGTGACACGGTGCTCTGGGCAGGCCAGCAGGCGTTCACTGAGCACCTACTCTGTGTCAGGCCCTGTACGGGCGCGAGGGGCAGGGTGGCCGGGCACAGTCTGTCCTGGAGGAGTTCAAGGCCTGGTGGCATCAGAGGGCCCAGGTGACCTCCAGCGTTTCTCCCAAGGCTAGCCATCTATGGTCACTGGTTTCACGAACACCTACTGTATGCATGACCCTCTCCACTCTGGGAAAAACCGACAGGAGATGCCGAAGGCTTTTCACCAATGCCATCCCTCCTCCTCCCCAGACATTCTCCTCCGGAATGGAGGCTGAGCAGAAGGACCAGCCTTCCCTGTGTCCAAGGTCTTTGGTGCTCACCCCCCAACACACTCTTGTCTACAGCCTCATCCACCCACCCCATCACTGGTTCACACCTCGGACAAAGCTGAGGCAGCCTCACTCCACCCCAGGACCCCAGAGCTCTCAGGAGCTTCCCTGGGAACTGAGGCACACAGAGCTCCTGCCAGAGATGGGCTCCAAGCCTGGGGAAACTTGCAGGGCTCTCAGGGGATCAGAGAGGACACACACACATGCAGACACACACACACACACACACACACAGAGAAATATACACATGAAGCATCCGCTTCTGTCCCGCCAGGCCCCTGCGATGGGTAGAGCAGGGTAATGACCCAAGATACAACCTGGCCCTGGGCCAGATCTCTGCCATCTATTCACTGCACACACGTGGGCTGAGGCCTACTGTGGGCCAGGTAGGGCTCCTCAGGATACAGCAGCGAGCTCTGGTTGGTTTACATTCTAGAGGAGAAAGACAGATGGTCAACAGGAAAAGTAACAAAGGAGTGAATTACATAGCACTGCTAGGGGCTGATGAGGGCCATGAAAA